AATATAATAAATATTTACATTTCTAACTTCACCTATTACTGGTATATATGCAGGGTTTGGTTGAGGCAGTCAAAGAAGTATTCCCAGTAGCAGAACATAGGCAGTGTGCTAGGAATATATATGCTAATTTTAGAAAGAGGGTAGTGGAGCCAAGTTTGAAAATTTGTTTTGGAGAGCAATCAAGGCAACAACTGAAGCACATTTTAACACAGCCATGAAAGATATTGAAAAGTTGAATCCTGAAGCGGTTAAGCATCATATGGATAGAGATCCAAAGACTTGGTCTCTAGCTTTTGTTAGAGTTCACAATTCATGTGAATCTGTGGAGAATGGGTTTTCAGGGAGCTTTAATAGTGTCATTTTGGTTGCTAGGAAGAAACCTATTATCAGCATGTTGGAGGACATTTGTATATATGCGATGAAAAGGATAGTCACTATGAAACTCACAGGTGAAGGATGGAATCGTTATTCTGTTTGTCCAAACATCAGAACAAGATTGAATATTCTCCAAAATGAGCAAAGGTATGCACACTTTTATTTCACACATAACTTACCTCTGTCAACTCTAAAATTTGTATTACTTTATGTAGGCATTGGAAGGTTATGTCTTGTGGGAGTATGAAGTTTGAAACAAGGAATATGGATGAGTCATACATTGTCGATGTTACAAAAAAGGAATGCAGTTGTAGGTTATGGCAACTAAATGGGTATGGTTGTGTTCATTCAGTAGCTACATTAGCTTTTTAAACGTAACACCTGATGGGCCATATGTAGACCCTTTGTACCTGGCAACTTTCTTCCATAATACTTACAAAAAGTCTATTAGTGGCATGAATGGGATGAACATGTGGCCTTCAACAACCTTTACACCTCCATTGCCTCTTTTAAAAAGAAGAATGCCAGGCAAGCCAAAAGTCAAAAGAATAAGGGATGCTTCTGAAATGTCTGGAAAACACACTGTTTCAAAGGCAGGAAAAAAGGTTTCTTGTGGCATATGCAAAGAGAAAGGGCACAACAAGACCACTTGCACTCAAGTGCCAAGGCCACCTAAAACTAATGTCACAAAGAAACAAAAAATCATGCAAACACAAGAATCAGTGAATATGCAAGGTGTTCAAGAAGATGCTATTATGGGTGATACAGTTGAGCCACAAGCTGTTGAAATTATGAGGGTAAACGAATCTGAGCAAGTGGTGAGAGTTAATGAAGCTGAGGAATTGGTCAGGATTAATCAAGTTGTTAGGCAAGTGAAAACTACGGGTCAACCAAGCAAAAGGAAAAAGTCAGAGAGAATTCTTAAACTAAAGCTTGCTAAAAGAGTTGAAGGTGAAGGTAGTAGTGTTGGATCGCCAATGGAGTTAGATTAATTACACTTCTAATTGTGTGTTTGTAATGTAGATTGAACAAGGGAATTTATGTTTGCTATGTTGATGTATGCTATACCAATCTTAACATTTGATATTTGGATGTGTGTTTGTATTTATAACATGTATGGTATGTCATGTTATTATTAAAGTAGGGGTATTTTGGTCATTTGAATCAGTTAAAGCAATAGGTGTATGGTATTTCATGTTATTAAAGTAGGGTATTTTGGTCATTTGAATAGTTAATACAATAGGTGTATGGTATTTCATGTTTTATTAAAGTAGGGGTATTTTGGCCATTTGAATAAGTTAATACAATAGGTGTATGGTATTTCATGTTATTATTAAAGTAGGGGTATTTTGGTCATTTGAATCAGTTAATACAATAGGTGTATTGTATTTCATGTTATTATGAAAGTAGGGGTATTTTGGTCATTTGAATAAGTTAATACAATAGGTGTATGGTATTTCATGTTATTATTAAAGTAGGAGTATTTTAATTGAACCGTTAATTTTGTATGGTATTTCAGTTGAGGGGTATTTTAGTCATTTCATCAGTTGAAACAATATTTTAGGTTTATTTCATGTACTTATTAAAGTAGGGGTATTTTAGTCAATCGAAGAAGTTAAATTACATACAATCCCCCCAGGTGTATTAGTCTCATTTTAATTGGTAAAAGCGGGCATGTGAATGTTGTTTAGGGTGGGTTTTTGTCATTTTAATTTGTTAAAGAACTGGGGTATTTCTTGTCATTATTTTTCTTTAATAAACCGATCAGGGGTATTAGAGGCAATTTATATTATGTGAATTAACCCACTAGGGGTATTTCAGTCAATATTTATTATGTCACTAAACCTACTAGGGGTATTTCAGTCAATATTTATTATGTTACTAAACCCACTAGGGGTATTTCAGTTAATATTTATTATGTCACCAAACCCACTAGGGGTATTTTAGTCATAACTTTATTATTTGACTTAACCAATTAAGGGTATTTCATTTATTCCCTTCAATTCTTCCAGGCAATTATTCAAATTGGGCAATCACAAATACAACAAAAAAACACTTTTCATTGTTTTCCATTTCTGGGTATAGGCAACGATAAATCTGGGTTTCTACATCTTCTCTTTTGTTCCATGTCCCCACAAACAAACATTGGGGTTCATGTTTTAATGGTATTAAACGTTTGACTGTTTCATGTGATCCCAAGAACAAAATCAACATAAAAAATGACAAATTCTTCATGACACATGCACATGTACATTTATAAGAGTACTCCTTTTATAACAGGAACAAGTTAACTTAATCAACATTTCATTCATGGGTTTCTGCATCTTTACATATATTGAACAAGTTATAACAGGATTTCCACAACTACCTAAGTAAATACGAGAACCATCACCTGACTTACATCAAAATACTGATCATCTAAACATCATGATCACAAAACCACCAAATACTACAACTAGAAACCAAAAGACAACCAACAAAACCCGTTACTAATAAGGACAATAAACAAGATGCACATCAAAACAAAATAGAAACCCAGGATTGAAATGTTTAACCTAAAGTTCTTCTGTCACTTATAAAACTTGTAGGTTAAAACCCCCACAACAGCAACAACAAAAACCCCAAAGACCTATTTCACTTTCTTCGACTTCTTTTTTCCTAGAACAAAGTTGACATACGACGCTTACATTGAACAGAAAAGATTCTTCAAATCAGCAACCATGTTAGATAGATCGAGTTGACTTGCCCTAACATCATCGACTTCATGATTTAGGGCGCCCATCTCTCTAGTGAGGATGCGTCGTAGTTCACGAAGGTCGTTTGCAATCTCTTCCCTCACAAGAGACACCTCCAACTGTGTCTGCAGTAGATTGATCGCCAGGTCTTCATTTGTGACTCCATTCGACACATTTTCAGCCATGTGTCGATTGTACTTGGGTGACCAACTGTGATCTTGAGATGATCGTGGAGGCATTGTTTCTGCGTTTGGTATCGACGTCTAGGGTGCAGTCGGGGTAACCAGGTTATGAATTCTGCCATTTTTGGGCATAAGGTTCACAATTTATATGGAGGCGGGTGAATAGTGTGAACTTGGGACTTACGTTTCACATTCCAAAACGACGTCGTTTGGGTCCAAGACTTAAATACAATGTCGCCATGTCATCGATGATGTGTCAAATTGGGACGATGTGGCAAGGTTACCGGGTATAATAAGTGAAGGGGACTAAATTGCTAGGTTGCAACACAATTCGTTCCCTTATAAAGCCACTTAAAAAGTTTAGTGACTAAAAGGGTAAACCCTAGAAATTCATAAGTCATATGTGTCATTTTCCCATATATATATATATATATATATCTATATTATATATATATATATATATATATATATAATATATATATATATATAATATATATATATATATACATATATTCGGTTCGTGTTACCAAAATAAGAGCTTATTCGGTTCTAAATACCCGACCCGAATAAGCATTCATCCTCCTCTTTTTCTAATCGACAGAAATCAAAATCACGATTCACACTTCTGTCCTCGTCATTCATAATAGAAAAAAAATCCTATGCTCGTTCTCGTCGTTTCAAAATCGACCAATCTTTTCATCTATTTCCAAACTTGAAATCACTTCTATCAATCATTCCTCTTGTTTCAAACTTTCAAAAATCAACCCTTCCTATTGTCTCTAAGTATTCATGAATTTCTACTTTGGCTAGTCATAGAAAATTGGGCTCCAACTCAAGAAACTCAAGTAAGAAATTAATTATCATTATGTTAATCTACTATGTAAATGTTACTCTTTCAATGTGTTATTGTGTTATGTTAGTCTTTGAATGTTTTATGTTGATGTCTAAAAGCACATTGTTATTCTATTATTCGGGTTATAAAATCCTAATACGGTTTATTCGGTTATATTAGGTCGTGAATCATCTTGTACATGTTATTCATGTTATTTGGGTAATAACCGAACTGAATTGATTAATACTAGAACCGAACCGAACCCGTGTTGGTTAATCAGTTCGGTTTTCGGGTTACTCGGGTTCGGTTCAGTTCGCTCCGGTTCCGACCCGAATAACATCCCTATATTATATATATATATATATATATATATATATATATATATATATGTGTGTGTGTGTGTGTGTGTGTGTGTTCTCAAGTGATTATTCATATATGAATATTGGGTTGGTGGCGAAGGTGGTGGCGGTGGCAGAGGTAGCGGTGGTTGTAGCAGTGGTGGTTGTGGTTGCGAGGGTGGTAAACGTGAAAATATACTTATCTTTATATTCATATATGAATATTACAATTTTTCTGTTGTCCGGTGCGCTAAAAAGTTTTGCTGCGAAAAGAAATATGTGGCCCAAATTTGGGTCCGCATTCTCAATTATATAATTATTACCTGTCGCTATTCTTGAATTTATGGGTCGATAATCCGTTGTACCCTCTTAATTTGTAATTAGCCTAAGCTTCTAGCTGAATTATTGCCATTCAAAAAAACAAAAAAAGTTTTTTTCGTAAATATTTTTCTTCAATTATTTTTATTAAAATATTTTAAAATTTTAGTAAAAAATATGTTTCCAATCAAATATAATAAAATGGAATAAAGAAGCAATTTCAATCTTCAATGCTTTGATAGAACACCCTTTTGAAATCATCCATGTGTCTCACTTGCAAACACAATGCTACAACCAGAGATCCACCTCCCTCTTCCCCTCGTAGAATTAAAAAGTCACCATCATCAGCATCATCGGTTCCTGGACCTGTAAATAACTCCTTCCCCCAACCGAAATCAACACCACACATCGGCAGTGTTAACCAGCTTACAACTCCCAGATTCGGGTTCCCGTAAAACGGCCCTTCACCGTCCTCGGATCGTTGCAAATCTTGGAATTTTGATAAATCTTCTTGATTTTTCAAGAAATCAATCACTGAATTCACATACTCATCGTTAACCTTCTCGATCGAGTCCCTTATCTTATTTGAAACATACCCTAATGTCTCCGAAAGTAACTCACCGGAAGTCCCAGTGGCAATCACGTCTATAATGGCGTTTCCAAAGTACTTTTCCGGCAACGACGGCTTCATTCTGGTTCGAACATCAATACATATGCCTACTGCAGTTGGCTGCTCAGGTTGTAGATTACGAGCCTTGCATGCTGTTCGCCATGCATGTGCAGTTACAACCTCGTACCGTGTAAACCCACGGTCCGTTTCAGTTTTCAGACTTTTGTTAGCTTTATTTCGTAGTTTTTCGACAAGCGTTTCAGTTAGTTTTAGCATTGCTACAGTGGTTTCCTTCGTACGTTCATTTACATTACTTGATTGACCTAAAAGGATCGGTGGAGGACGAAACTGTACATGTTGTTCGATGCTTGAATATGTGGTCGGAGGCTCACCAGCGTGCAAACATTTTCTATCCAGATGAGGTGGTGAATCCAGCTGCTCACCACGACAAAGCCTAGCCCATTCAGACAGAAAATGAAGTGCGCTTTGCCCATCAACAACAACATGTGATATACAAAACCCTAAAGACCAACCTCCACACACAAATTTTGTAGCTTGCAAAAGCAATAATGGGATTTCTTCAAGGGGTGTATGCCGATAATCTACGGAAGGAATAAGGTGGTGAAATATTGGAGATTGCACGAAATCATCTAAGTCAGCCAGTTTTACGTCGGAATAAGCTTCGATGAACTGAACACCGGCTGCATTACAGTCCAGCTCCAGGCGACCACCGGCAATGGAAGAAAGCCGGCTGGCTAGAGGGTAAAAATGAACAAGTGTGGTGGTGAGGGAAGCTTTTAGGGTTTGTAGGACAGTGTCCCAGTCCTGAGAGGGTTTTGTGTAGAAATAGATGGTAAGAACATGTGTGTTCATGCCAGTCTGGTCTAGTTCGGATAGTGGAAGCCTACCGGTCCAAGTTGGTTCTGCCGGTTTGATTAATGAAGAAGATTTCATGGTGACTCTCATTTTGGTTGAAGAAAGAGAGTTTGAATGTCTTGTGGTACTTATAACGAAAGTGGTCATTAGAATGGTGTGAGACTTGAGTTACGGCAGAAAGAAAGGTTTGATGTTTGATTGCTAATGTTCATGATTAGAGGTAGTTTATTACTGTCGTCGCATTGTCGATGTTATAAAATCTGAAAACAATACATATATAGTTTATCAAAGAGGATATTTATAGTAATAAAATATTCTAAATACTAATTATAAAGTAACATATCCATTATTTTGATTATTTCATTTTTCATATAATTTTATAATTTTTCTTTTTACAATACATTATATTATAAAAGTTCAATAAAATATATCATTTCTAAAATAATATATACTTGTTAATCAGTTTATATTAAAAGAGTTTACATTTTCCCTTAAAACAATCCAATGCTCGTTGAACTTTATCTATTAAACTAGGTTAAAACCCGTGAAACCCACATGTGTTAATTTTAAATAGAATTAAAAAATTGATTATGTAATAAAATAATATATCATTAATTTAGAAAAACTTATGAATTGTAATATTGTATTTTTTTAATAATAATATTAAATTAATAATATTGGAAATTCAATCTATACGAATAAAATACCATTTGCACTTCTAATTAAAAGTCTATAACTTTATATTTCTTATATATTACCGTCACATTCAGTTTTGTTATTTATCTATAGTTATATTTTTAAAAATTGGAAAATTTAATAAAATTGTTAGATTTAAGAAATAAAGAGTAAATTACAAAGGATTTGGTTTAGTTTTTCTTTGACTCAAATAATAAAAACAAAGGGAGTACAATGTTGTATTTGGGGTAGAAAGAAATAAAGGTAAGATGATAAACCCCACGGTTTGTGAATATAATAAAACAGTTTAACAGGAAACTCATGGTTTATGATGATAAACCCAACCGGATTGATGACCAAAAGGTTCTAGATGGGCACCCTAAAAAAACAAAATGACTAAAAAGACCCTATCAAAATAAGCCCTTAGTCATTATAGTAGTAGTGTAGTAGTAGTTGCTAAAAGATACAATAGTAATACCTAGGTGACCACTAAAACCTATTTCCCAAATAAGGGTAAAAATGTCTTTTTATTGGAATTGGGCACCAAAGGTCTGCCTGAAAGACCAGCCAACAGGGACAACATTGTTAGACACCATGGTTTTACCATCACTTGTGGTGACCTTAAAAGGCAGACTTGTCCGTTGAGATAATTGTTGGATTGCCACAACTCAAACCATTGTTGAACAAAGCAGTACTTAACGCTGTTAGGTTTGTACCATACCATTGACTATACACAAGCACCACCTATCATATTAACACCAAATCTCAGTCAATTAATCGAAGAATGAGAGAGATAGAGAGAAGAAGAGTAACGATTTGAAGATTACCACCTAGAACGTTTTGTTATTCCATTCAACCTATATCTCTGGTAACCAAAAAAGCCCATTTTCAATGTAGGAGTAAATGTATCAAACTTGATAAATCTGATAACCAACTATGTATATCAATTAACTTGATTGATGATAAATTTAATAAATAACTTGTAATCACTTTATAAATTTCAAAGTTCCCGATTACTAAAGCAATTAAAGGTTTCAATTTCAAAAATAGCAATTATTGTTGAATTTTTTTTAAAAAAAAAACTTACATTGAAAATGGAACTCCTAAACAGCTTTCACTGTACACAAAAAATGGAAAAGTGATGATTAATCGTCATCATCACCATTTAACTTTCTCAGATATGATGAAGAGATAGAAAGGTAGTGATAACGGGTGACTTAAGAGAGGCAAATAGGGAGGCTGTAGGTGGTTCTGATGTTCATGATAGACTATATTTTTCTTAAATGGAAATCCAACTGTGTGAAAATAGAGAGGGAGATGGTGATGACCGATGATTCATCTACAAAAAGGTGGAAAGAGTTAGATATTAATGTTCATGAATCATTATATTGAGAAAGAATTGGTGGGTTATGCTTCCGATTTGCTATAATCGGCACATGTAGCTACTTTCTTATTGTATCTAATAAGCCTCCCAAAAAGACGTTTCTAAAGATATCTTGCAAAGGAATTGAGTATCAAATTATTTGAAAAAAATGTAGAAAACTAAGATTACAGGGTAACAACCCTGTCATCTAAGACCAAGGAAGTACCAACAATTACCAACATTAAAGAAAGTTGTTTAAGTCCCAATGAAGCTTCAAGACTTCATATCTATAGCAAAATAAAAACAAAAGTTATATACACTCGGAACTTGTAGAAACCAATAAGAAGAAAATTGATGTTTGGTTATCTGATTTTCTAGATCTGCCATTTGGATGTATTCTTGAAAACCTTTTATTAACAACTGAATCTATATCTTCAACAGATGGAATCAACCCTTCCACATAATTTACTTTGGATGTATTCTATAATAAATTCTCATAAACCTGATGTTAAGAAAATAACACCGGGTGGATTGGATAAGATCACAGCTAAGGGCAACATTTTTTTAAAAAATAGAATGCTATATTTTTAGACATTTATATAAAAATAAACTATTCATTATTCAACTTTAGTTTAGATCACCTGTAATCACAAAATGAGGCCACAAGCAGAAAGTTTGATATTTTTTAAATAAATTTCATATTAGCATTATACTTCATAAACCGCTAAGTTGAAGGAATTCGGAGTCAAAATGACCTCTTTTTTACTCAAAATGACATTTTTGTCCAATTTGGTCATTTTTAATTTTTTCTTTTTTCGTAATTTACCCACTTCAAATAAATTATTTTTTGTTCAAAATTGTCATTTTGACCATTTTTCCCTTTTTTTTCTCATGTCAATCCAATGTACAGTTTAAAAGTTTGGCTAATATTCATTGTTCTTTTATAACAGGAAAAATACAATAAAATTAAAACAAAATACCAATATACCCAAATTGCCCCTGCAGCTTCCATTTATGTTTACTTTAAAATTTTAATATTGAGGTCACAAAAAGTTTGATTTTTTTTAAATATGTCTCATTTTGGCATTATACTTCCTAAACTGTTAAGTTGAAGAAATTTGGAGTCAAAATGACCTTATTTTGATTCAAAAATACCTTTTCGTAATTTGCCAACGTAAACATAAAAAAAAAGTACATTGATATGAAACAATTAAAAATATATATATATATATTTTGTTCAAAATTGTCATTTTGACCCTTTTGTTTCCCCTTTATTTCATGTCAACCCAATGTAAGTTTAAAAGTTAGGCTAATGTTCGTTTTTCTTTAATAACATGAAAAATAGGATTAAATAAAAACAATATACCAATATACCTAAATTGCCCCTGCATTCTCCATTTTCGTTTATTTTAAAATTTAATATTGAGAGTACGTTGCTATTTCTTGACAGCACCAGTTATAGCGGCCATCTGTGATAAAATCAAATGATATTTCAGATAACCACCAACTCAAATAGGAACATAGGTTACAAAAATGTAGAAGAATGTGAGATAGAAACCTTGAAGGCTTTGTCACACTACCTAGCCAAAGCATACACAAACATACAGTCACATCAAATGCACACCAATTCACTATTTTCTTCTAAATGACCATTATACCCCTCCACCCTCGAATTCATAAAAAGTTCTTATGATTGAAAACTGAAATAACATTGTACTTATGTTTCTTTGACAATATTTGCAACCGATTAAAGTACAATGCTATAATCTAAGAAAACCTCATAAAAATGCTTTATGTTTCTTCTTGTCCCCTGGTTTATATTTCTTTATCTTTATTTTAGTCATTATTATCCATCATTAATTTATAAGTAATGAATTTATATTTAAAAAAGCAGTAAACATGATAGAAGCTGATTAAAACCCAAATAAGATTATAATCAAATTATAATAAAAATAATAAATTGTCCAATACATTTATTGCTACAGCCCATTATTACCTCGCCAGTATACCTGTATAAACATTAACATCATTCACTCACTAATTTTATAACTTTTAATAAAAGTAAAACCTTTACCCTTCACGAAAATTTATCTAGTTGCAAGATTCGTTTATTATGGACCCTTGATACACAAAACCTCTTCTTGGTGCAGCGTCAACTTCTAACTTAATTGAATCTCATATATCACTAACCATCACCAAATAAGCATCAATCTGTAAACGAAAACATAAATCCAAAAAATCAAAAGTAAGCTTTCATGAGAATCAAAATCTAATCAGTTTCACTCAAAGAGAGTTGGGTGAAAGCCACAACATGTGGGAGAACTTCAACATGGAGACAAAAGCTTCAAGTGGATTGGAAACACAAAACAGAATCATACCTGATGCCAGAAAGAGGATTGGTGAAGAGGATTAGAGGTCTGATGATAAGCATATCTAAAAATATTGAGAATTAGAGAAGAGAAAGCAAGTCTGATGATAATATTGAGCAAAACAGTAGACTTGAAACACGAAACAGAATCATCCATGTAGGATTACTTTCAGCAAATCGATCAAATAGGGAAATTGACAAAAAAAAAATTGGAATGAATTACCTTCATAATGCTAATTTATTCAAGAGTTTCGGTGATCCCTCCTTGATTTCTCCTTCCCTGAAGTTCATTGTAACAGAATCTACACCCTGTTATAATGAATAATATAACCATTTGAGAAAAAAACTTGAGTAGAGGTAAACAAATTAAACCTGGTGTGGATCTTCTGGCTGTTCTTTGATCCTGAGAATTTTGGTATGCTCATATACGAATAACCCTTCGTATGGATCTACTTCTTCGTCATATTGAGGAATCAGACTGCGTAGGTAAAGCACGAAACGACGATTGAATAATCGAATAACCCCCAAACATCCGGTCCTGAAATCAAAAAAAATTGACCAAAATTCATCCAAACCCATTCTCTATTCTCTAAGACCACACACACACACACACACACACACACACATCTCCAATACCCCCTGAAGCTTCCGATCGTTAAAAAAAATCGAACAGAGATAAAGAGA